GACACGTTCAACTGGTCATGGGTCCGGCGCACCGTCAGCCATTTTTGTATTCCCCAAGACCGATGCACAGAACAAGTTCCAAAGAAACGATTTGCTGCAGTCCAAGCAGCCCAGGTGGTCAGGTCCAGCCGGTGCTATGACGTCCAGACTGGCTCCGGAACCGATGCCAGTATGAATAAAGTGGCGTCTAGCTGACGCCAGCACACCGGCTCTAGTACCCACCCTGAGGCAGACCACGCCGCGGACTAAAGTAAAGTGGCGTCCAGCTGATGCCAGTACACCGGCTCTGGTAACCACTCTGAGACAGATCACGCCGTGGACTAAAGTAAAGTGGCGTCCAGCTGATACCAGTACACCGGCTCTAGTACCCACCCTGAGACAGACCACGCCGTGGACTTAAGTAAAGTGGCGTCCAGCTGATGCCAGCACACCGGCTCTAGTACCCACTCCGAGACGGACCACGCCGTGGACTAAAGTAAAGTGGCGTCCAGCTGATGCCAGCACACCGGCTCTGGTACCCACTCCGAGACGGACCACGCCGTGGACTAAAGTAAAGTGGCGTCCAGCTGATGCCAGCACACCGGCTCTGGTACCCACTCCGAGACGGACCACGCCGTGGACTAAAGTAAAGTGGCGTCCAGCTGATACCAGTACACCGGCTCTAGTACCCACCCTAAGACAGAACACGCCGTGGACTAAAGTAAAGTGGCGTCCAGCTGATGCCAGCACACCGGCTCTAGTACCCACTCCGAGACGGACCACGCCGTGGACTAAAGTAAAGTGGCGTCCAGCTGATGCCAGTACACCGGCTCTGGTAACCACTCTGAGACAGATCACGCCGTGGACTAAAGTAAAGTGGCGTCCAGCTGATACCAGTACACCGGCTCTAGTACCCACCCTGAGACAGACCACGCCGTGGACTAAGTAAAGTGGCGTCCAGCTGATGCCAGCACACCGGCTCTAGTACCCACTCCGAGACGGACCACGCCGTGGACTAAAGTAAAGTGGCGTCCAGCTGATGCCAGCACACCGGCTCTGGTACCCACTCCGAGACGGACCACGCCGTGGACTAAAGTAAAGTGGCGTCCAGCTGATGCCAGCACACCGGCTCTGGTACCCACTCCGAGACGGACCACGCCGTGGACTAAAGTAAAGTGGCGTCCAGCTGATACCAGTACACCGGCTCTAGTACCCACCCTAAGACAGAACACGCCGTGGACTAAAGTAAAGTGGCGTCCAGCTGATGCCAGCACACCGGCTCTAGTACCCACTCCGAGACGGACCACGCCGTGGACTAAAGTAAAGTGGCGTCCAGCTGATGCCAGCACACCGGGTCTGGTACCTACTCCGAGACGGACCACGCCGTGGACTAAAGTAAAGTGGCGTCCAGCTGATACCAGTACACCGGCTCTAGTACCCACCCTGAGACAGACCACGCCGTGGACTAAAGTAAAGTGGCGTCCAGCTGATACCAGTACACCGGCTCTGGTACCCACCCTGAGACAGACCACGCCGTGGACTAAAGTAAAGTGGCGTCCAGCTGATGCCAGCACACCGGCTCTAGTACCCACTCCGAGACGGACCACGCCGTGGACTAAAGTAAAGTGGCGTCCAGCTGATGCCAGCACACCGGCTCTGGTACCCACTCCGAGACGGACCACGCCGTGGACTAAAGTAAAGTGGCGTCCAGCTGATACCAGTACACCGGCGCTCGTACCCACCCTGCGCCAGACCACGCCGTGGACTAAAGTAAAGTGGCGTCCAGCTGATACCAGTACACCGGCTCTGGTACCCACTCCGAGACAGGCCACGCCGTGGACTAAAGGGAGCCGAACCTACCGATCGCGTCACATCCATCTCAGCTACACCAGCCCTGGCCGACGGCCAATATCGCCTCTAATCACTTGAGAAGCAAGGCATGCTTAGGATGAACTTTGAGGAATCTTTTCTGCATTGAGGAACCTTTCTGCATTACCAGTGCAACCGTTTGGCTCGAGGGGGGTCTCTTTACACTGCAGATTGGGAAACCGGGTCCGGTCGAAGTGTTTTCTGTATTCATAAGGACCTAGTTTATTCATGTGATCAATGCTTCAATCAGTACGAATATGATGACCATGATAGCGGCTGTGTAGCGCGTCGACTGCAGTGATCAAACACGTCACAAACAGGAGCTCGGCGTTCTAGGCAGGCTTTTGCTCGTCCTCTAGCCGAATCTCACGCGTGTCCGAGTCATAACGCGCTGAGCTGATTCCGAATGACTCCGATCAACGACGTACAATTTGTAAGCGACATCAATTTCGACAGCGCATAACATAACTCTTCTTGAAACCGATGAGCCAACTTCAGTGATCTCCTCGTGTTGGAAAAGTGTGTGTCTCGCTCAGAACGTACGCATACTTGAGCACAAATCTTACAATTGAGCGTCACTTTGACTTCGGGAGGACTGGCGCCTCCAGTCGGTACACTGGTCGCGATCTCGACAGATACTTGCCTCGTTCCTGCATGCTCCGGCTCACTTGTCACGTCGTTACCATTGGAGCCGGCCCCAACTCGACCACGGATCAACCACGTGTCTGGTGCTGAGCACTATCAACGCTTGGATGGTGTCACTCCTCCAATCGTTTCGCGGTGTCACATACTGATCGCGGTACACGGTGCGCCGCACCGAAACCTGACCGGACAGCGCCTGACACGGCCTGACGGCCACCAATCGGCCGGACAGCGCCTGGCACGGCCCGACGGCCACCAATCGGCCGGACAGCGCCTGACACGGCTCGACGACCACCAATCTGCCGGACAGCGCCTGACACGGCCTGACGGCCACCAATCTGCCGGACAGCGCCTGGCACGGCCCGACGGCCACCAATCTGCCGGACAGCGCCTGGCACGGCCCGACGGCCACCAATCGGCCGGACAGCGCCTGACACGGCTCGACGACCAATCTGCCGGACAGCGCCTGACATGGCCCGACGGCCACCGATCGGCGGACAGCGCCTGACACGGCCCGACGGCCACCGATCGGCCGGACAGCGCCTGACATGGCCCGACGGCCACCAATCGGCCGGACAGCGCCTGACACGGCCCGACGGCCACCAATCGGCCGGACAGCGCCTGACACGGCCCGACGGCCACCAGTCGGCTGTCTCGTGTCCGCTTACGTTGAGAGGGGCCTTCCGGCTGGGCTGCGCAGTTTGCCTGGGGCGTCCACGCATCGCAGTGGGTATTTCATGCACGCGCAGCCCAGATGCGGAGCCAGTCAACAACTCATCGAGACACCGCCATCCGACAACCGACCTGATCAGACCTTAATCAGGGTTGACCTGCCGAAGAACGCGTAGACATACACACCACGGAAAGGATGTTTCCAAAAAAGTTAACAGGCTGGCCAAATTGTCCTACCAGCAGGATGCTGACAAAGAAGCGAATGTGCAGACGGGTGCGGCGTATTCAGATGCATGGTCCAAAACTGTAGGCAAAATGACAGCTCTAATCGAGGTAATCGGAACACATGAGCCTCGCTACCCGACCGAACTTTCAGCGTAACTGCTCAGTTCTCAAAAGGTCATCCCCCATCCGCAAGGCGAAGATCACCTCCCCTAGACCAGTGTTGAACACGTCGATAGCGCCGGATGAAAAATGCCCGCAAGGCGTGCAATTACGCAAATGTAATTTTGACGCCACCTCAAACTACTTGGAAGCACCCTGTCGAACGAACAAGTAGCGGCAGTGAAAAAACTGGATTGATTTTTGTAATACGGTGGTCAGGCCCGCATCGTGAGGTAATACACAACGTGCTCCTTTGGTAAAGTGCTGTAAAAAAATCGTCAAAAAGGCTGCATGCCAAGTTGAAGGAATAGGACCAGTGCATCTTATTTTCCAGTCACACAATTCCAGTGCATCACGGATCAGGTCGGTCACAGACAATCACATATACAATTATAGATGGGAAGAGGAGCACCCAATGGTGTCGAGTAGCAGCGCCATCGTGAGTAGTGTTTACAAAAGCGTCTTTGCACCGTAACAGTCATAGGTACACCGATGGGTGCAGTACACAGCTTCGCATGCCAGCACACTTCTACGTCATGCGTGGACAAAAGCATGCTTTACTCACTACAACCAGCGTGGATGCAACGCTCTTGTGCACACCTAACAGTGCAAGCGCAAGCCAAACCGAAACAGATAACCTCAGTTCTCAAGCGGCTACGCCGAGGCTTCGATGGCCTCTGCGCGAGACCTTCCGTCAGGCTAGCTCAGCGCCGCGGGTGGTTTGTCTCCACATTTGGAAGATCGCAGCCCGAGGGCGAGTGACAATTTGGTACACCATTCGACCCTAACGTCCCACGCTTCCAACATTATAATTACTTTGCCACAAAAAAACTCAAGCGCGGTAAACTAACATATCGTTAAGTTGTCCTACAAGTGAGATTAAAAAAGCTCATGCTAAGCCGCATCGTAAATGCTGAACAATGCCGTCGCCGGATAATGACGAACCCAAAACTGAATACTAATTCAAAATCCACACCAGCTTGACCTGATTGGAACCGGTTACTGGTTAACAATGTTGCCTGACAGCCAAAACGCCAAAGCTGGCGGCAAATCTATCAGAACAGGTAAATCCCATCGTAAAAATAGTCAGTCGCCAAAGAAAAAAACACAGTGATATGTGCAAACGGTGCTTCAGCGGAAACCGCCCTGGTAGGTGGAACGAAACATGAGCGTTGCACACTATGGCCACAGCAACTATACCTGGGGCCGGGCACCGGATCCGATGCATTTTCCCACTGAATCTGTTCCGTGCACTGGCGTGGGAAAGGCAGGCAGCGCAAAAAACGACCCGAATTATAATAGGCGCCGGCAGCGGACCACTGCACGGTCTGGCCTCATTAAGCGTTTCCGTTTGGCGACTGCGACGGGAGGCGGCGGCGGCGGCGGCGGCGGCGGCAGCGGCGGTGGCGGCTGATGCCACCCCGCCGGCCGGGGTCAGCTGACCCGACACTGACCTTGTGCGCTTGCAGGGCGTGGCCCTCGCAGGCGAGCGTGACGTCGGTGAAGATCTCGTTGCGCAGCAGGCGGGCGAACACCCGCTGCAGGTTCGTCTGGTGGTTGTTCCATTTCAGACAGTACTGCTGCTGACTGTTCATGGCGACTCGGTGGCCTGCGGACCGTGGCGGGCGGCGCGTCAGTGGCGGCGCCGCCTTACCGCGCCCGCGGCCACTCTTTTTGCATCGATGCCTGTCTTATCGGGACGCCATCGCCCAGAATGGAGCAAGGCCGGCAGCGCGGCCGTAACTCACAGTCGCCGGCGGCGGCGGCGGCTCGTGCACCGCTCCGCACCACCGTCCGCCATCGCCAAAACGGGCCCACCTTTCAGCACGAGCACTGGCCGTGCGGTGCTGCCAACCAGCCGGCCGCCGCACCGTCGGCCCCAGGACCGTACGCCCACTGCAGACAGGACCACGGGCCCCTTGCCTCTTTAAAGATCGGAGCACACCAACAAGCGCCCACCCTAACGCGGCGGCACAGAACCACTGATGGTCTAACAGCGTAATCATGCGGCCACCAAACTTTCAAAGTCCGCCTCGGCCGCCGTCTGGGAAAGGCATTCGCCCTGCGCGCCGCGGCTCGGCGCGCCGGCGTTCGGCCCCGCCGAGCGTCGGTCGGCCGCCCGGCCGCCCGAATATCGGCGCTCTCCGCGCGAATTCCTGGCGCGCTGCCAGCATCGAAATTTTATATCAAACTTTCGAATTGAGTGGGGAGCGCCACCATTACCCGGGAGAGCCAATAACCGTTCGGCTTGCCGGCGATATCGATTGGCCTAGGTGACGTCAGAATAATGTGAAACTTTTGGCGGATCGGGGCGCGGCAGCGGCGACCGCGGCGGCGGCCCGAGAGAGGCCGGCCGCCGCTACAAAGCACTACTTCGGCGGATAGCAGAGGAGGCCGCTTACCACGCCAGAACCGCTGGCACGCCGTACAAGTGCATAGGCCAAGTCGTTGTGTTGCAGGCCGTGGCGACCAAACGGGACCAAAATATAAATATCAACCGACGCTCTGTAGAAACCGAGCAAACATCGCACGATATCAAATCTACTTTACAAACATGGAGATAGTGCGGTGCACTCGCAAGCAACGGGTACATGTCGCCAACGAGACGAACGTGTTTCACAGACAAAGGGAAAGGTTGGCCAAGGAAACCCATGCCATGGTAAAGAAGCACTAACCAGCTAACAGGCTGGCACACAATTATTGCGTTCATTTGGGCGATGTAGTTTGCAAGTGTGCACGAAGCTTTGTTTGATGAATTCTCGAGACTAAAACATCACTTAAGTTAATTCCTCACTTGAGCTATGTGCTGACTATGACTATGACTATGACAAAAATACGAGTATCCAGAAGCCGACCACACCGGTACTACGTAAGGGGACAGGAAACCATGCATGGATAGGCAGACAGGTTTTTGGCTTCCAAGCCAAGTGCAAAACCAACAAAATGACATGAAGTCGAAGCTACACAAACGCCCGTGGTTTCGAAGTTTTGACTACCAAGCTGAAGGGCAACGGCTTCGGCTTTTGCACACGTAAAAGCGAATTGAGGCCAGTGGTTTCAAACTCTGTACATGCGAAGCCTCAGCCGAAATCAGAGTCCTCAAATTTTGCGGACAAAACTTCCAAAGTTGCAACTGCATTGAAAAATCACCATTTCAAAGTCAAAATCACCACTTCAAGACTGCTTGAAGCTGAAGCCAAAGCTGACTTGTTACAATCATTTGAAGCCAAAGCAGAAGCCAACAATTAAAAGGGGAATGCAGCCAACTCTAAAGTCTGCCATGGAAAGTGGTTTCAAGTAAAGGCCATACCCCCATCTCATGCCGATGCTGGAAAACTGCAGCTTCGCGAAGACCTCGCTAATGCCGACTCACTTTCAATACCCAACAAGTGACCACAACAAAATGCCTTGAGGTCGATGGAAGCATGCTAAGCTCAGAATTGCGCACAAGTTGAGTTACATTGGGAGGCAAGCACCAAATGCAATGTGCAATGCTGCGCAGCACATCTCCATGCCCACAAAGCAACTGGGCAAAGAGAGGAGCTTTGAGTGCTCATGCTGGCAGCTGGAAATCCTGTCACACCAACATAATGCCCCCATCCCTCTCCCTGGCAGCATATTTCCCCTGGCTCATTGATGTTTAAATTCATATTGCTTGCACCAGTTCAAAATCATGAAGATTATGCACTTAACCATGCTTCATTATGACAAAATCAAAGGAGATTTCATTACAGACTATTGAGCCCTATGATCCATATTGCCAAGACAAATTGAGGGCTGGAAAGCAGCCTTATTTACATCAGTAGTGGAAGGACTTGACTGATATCCTTTGAAAATTATATTTGTCCCATCCTTATTCTTCATTTCTTTGCATATCATTCATACATTACAGCACCTTTGCCTGTCTATATTCTTCCAGCTGTTCCAGTTGTTCCCACTCTTACCTAAAAGTAAAAGGATTGTTGAAACAAGAAAATGCCAGAATATTATGTCAAAATGCATTATACACACACAAGACAGAAAAAAATCAGTGAGAGTAATCAGTGATGGCTGCTTAAGAAATAGAAGGTTGTCAAGGTGGTAGATTTCATTCAATACAATTTTTTGAACCCCAACACAACCCCTGTTTCCCATGTAAACACTAGCCTTGAGATACAAGTAAAATGTGCATGCCTGTGGGTCAGCCATGCAACAGCTGCTGGAGTGTCATCTATTTTAAGTTGATCTGTGGATACATCATGACTATCACACAACACAAATTTTCAAAAACAAGCCAGAGGCACCAAAAATTGTGCACTTCTGCAATAAAGGTTATGTGTAAAGGCCTGAATCCATTTCAAAGCATCATGACAAATGAATAAAATAATTAAACCAGCCTAGATGCTATTAAAACAAGTTGTTGTTGTGAACCACTAATCCTGCTGTCCCTCATCAGTTTGCTAAGCACAAGAAGTCTGTCTCATTTGGGTAGCAAACAGGCAGATATACCAAATTTGAGCCACCTAAAAATATCGGCACAGGTCATAAGCACAGGAAACTTAATGCTGTGTTGTGGGAGCAGGCGGATTGATTTGGGAGAAAAGTGGTCATTCTAATTGCTCTCACTTTTTGGCACCATCGCTTTGAGAATACCAAAAGTATAAGCTGTGTTCCAATAAGTACAAGCTGCAATTTGCATGTCAGTATTACAGATTTATCTACTGGCACACCCAACAGGAAAGCTATATGATACATGCTTTTTAAGTTGCATGCACTGAAGCACAAACGTCACCAAGACATGTTTCTGGAAAATGAACACTCAAAATGTGGGCTGTAACCAAGTGATCCATCAATACACATGCACTAACTCCATGTCATGCAATATCCATATTTTTGATGAGTGATGGTAAGGTTGGAATAAACACCTAACAATGCAGCAGAATTTGGTACTACATTTAACTAGGCTTGGTCTAACAACCATGCTTGGTATTAGACTATGATATGTTGCAATCTATGGGTCCAGTGGTGCCCAAGCCCACACATGAAGAGGTTGCAGGATGCTAACACTCAAAGAAATTTTATCTTTATATGGAGAATGTGCTTTTGCTTCCTGGTTGCAGAGCACAATTTTTCCTTGGTCTTTGAATGCAAAACTAGGTGAGCAGAGGGACAGCATTATTTCTGCTCCACACTTTGTCCCTGTTCCCCAAAAAGTCTGAACTTTCTTTAATCAGCATGCAACCACACCTACAAGTGAGAAAGCATGCTCACACTCCAGCAGCATTTTTAAAATGGAGCCTTTTTCAGAGTTGTTTCCACCTATACAAGCTATTTTTCCATAACAAATATGGCCAATGCAGAGAGGTTCAACAGTGACAACAATTATTTTTGCCTAATTTGCCTGCTATGCTCATAACTAATCTTGCTCCAGATATCATTGGGTATTTAGAACTGGGAGAAAACATAAAACTTCGCCATGACTTATGCCTACTTCTATACTGTTTGGTTAGTTGTACATGAAGCACCTATATGGAAACTAAGGCCTTCTAGCAAATACAAAAAAGTAATGCATCATGGCTCTGCCTTAGTCATGAACAATTGGAGCAGCCTCTTTTGCCTCCAATAGTAATCACATGTCAGCTTCAACTTGATCTTGATCTGTAAAGCAGTGTGGGCTAAGCTAAAATATTAGCATCTTTTGAGCTATAGCTTTCTGGCCATGATATGCTGATAAAGAATTATCTCAAAAGTATAACCAAACAAAAACAGTGCATAGCTCATTTTAACAACAATGATCATCAAAACTCCAAGTGCTCTGAGGTTATTAGGGGAATTTACCATTCACACAGGTTGCAACACAGGAGGCAGAATAAGCATGTCTCCCAAATCTTATAAAATGTATCCACACTAAGTTCAGATTTTTTAAGCTATATTATCCACCCTTGATGCATGAGAAGGCATTGGTACACTGGTACATTGAACAGGAGGAGGCATTGCAGACCAAGCATTGGCCATATTGCTAGGACTTGGGTAAGTAAAGATTTAATGCTTCAAGCTAGGCCATGATCATGGGCATCAAAAGCCCAGCTTAAAATGTTGAGCATGCTGGTATAACCAATGCTTTCTCTATAACATTAGTTAACAAGTACCTCATGGTCATTCTGCAAGTCAATCAAACTGTGCCTGATGAATATGCAACAATTGTACTTTAGAACTCATACTCCCATTAGAAGATTCAGGCCAGACTGAATGATGATGGATATTCACTTTTCATGTAAAGGTTTTTCACAGAATTGTTTTCTGGAACTTACAAATCAGATGCCACAGTTCTTAAAGGTATTAGCTGCCTATCCAATGAGACTTGGCTGACCATGAGCTGAACTGAGTGTTGAGCTGTACTTTGTGCATGCACTAATGTTGTTAAAGTAATGCCACTACTGTGCCATTTATGTTAGTCATAACATGCTCTGTTCGCAGTCTGGCCTCCTCGCATGTTGAGAAAATAACTGGGCATAAAAACTCCAAACTCAGTGCTGCACAACCAGGAGCTGAAGATCTTTCTTACTTATATCACAAATTTCAACCATGTGACCAAAAGTCTACCATGGAAGGAAAACCATACAAATTTAAGGCTTATTCAGCTCTTCACCAGCAGCAAAGAACCAATGTGCACACTCAAGTATGTTTCACACCTATATGATGTTTTTGTGAAGTCTCAAATCCTTGAGCTTAGCAGATAACATTTAAATGAGAAACTATACAGCTTTCCGTGCCGCAAAACTTTCCATGCATTGTAACCCGTATGCGCTGGAATGGTCACAAAATCGAAATTCACCAGCATGGACCAAATTTTGACTTACTCTTTCGGCGCCGGCATCCCTCGAGCACAGACCACAGGCAATTCGAACAATTCCAGTAATCTCTTACCTGCTTAAAGAAACCACAAGAAGCCAGGTACCAGCGACAGCGCGCCGCACCACTCCTCTCAGCTCCCTACCAAAAATGGCGTTTCGAAAATTTTCTGCGTGATGGCGCTAGTGAGGGTTTTTTGCAAAATCTTTCGAATAGGCGTATTTGGGGGTTCAATCTCCGTTCATTGTAACTGCCTTTCTCCTGATGACGTCTTAGTAGGCCCCCGGTCTATGTCCCTACACTTATTCAGCTGGGCTCAAAACCGCATATAAGAGCCGTAACTTAGTGAAATTGATATTATCCTTGGACCAAAATTGCCATCCTTGCCCCCTTGTATTTCCGCCTCTGCGGAAGCATTGACCCGAAGTATTTTACAAAACACGAAATAGTGCTTTGATCGATACGCAACACAAAATGTCCCACGAATCAGTCATAGATCTCCTAATTGAACACCAATTTAGGTTTTCTACTTTTAAGTGATGATGCATCATACTTGCATGGAAAGAAAATATTTATTAATAAAAATGGGCATCCAGTTCGTCTGACGTACTTGGCATTAGTAATGGACAAACTGAGTACGTCATAAACTTGGCCAACTTGGGCTGTTCACTTGCGTAAGCTTTAAAACAATTTTCCATACCCTGCACAATAATAAATATCATAAATTTCCTTAGAAAACGTATTCATTTTGCTGGTTAAGCTAAGTTGAGTGAGGACAGAAAGGCCATCTTCTAAGGTGTCGCTTGTGTCTGGTATATACGAAGTATTTAGTTTATAGTTCATACCGCAATTATACTAGCAGCTTTTTGCAGCCCCGAAAAGGACGCGTGTGAATCGACTCACAAATGCATCTACTCAGAATAGCTCCCATGCTGGAATCCGCTGCGTCGTGAATATGCACATGATAACACTGTTGTGTGAATCGACTCAGATCAGAGTGTATTTACACATGGGCGCAATGTCCCATAAATCTGCTCGTCGGACGTGTGGTGTGGTCCACACAGGCGCGACCCCATGATTAAACAGACGCAGATCTGAATGAAGCTGCACTGAAGCCCCCCACTCCTTGTATATCTCCTCCAGGGTGAGTTTAAGCAGATGAACCGCTTTTACACTCGTGACGTGGCATAAACAGAAGCGTCATTTTGCGTTGTTCCGCGTGTGACCCCTTGAGTAAACCCATGCAGATATAAATGTATTTGCACTGAAGCGCCGTCACGTACATATCTACTCCGGAGTGTATTTAAGCAAACGAGCAATCATGTGTAAAAACATTTATGACATGACGTGTGATAAACATATATGTTAACTGCTCCGTGATGTTATCTAAACAACAGACAGGGCGTACGTGACAGCCGCTAAAAAAGTCATGTAAAGTCGAGGCCCGGCGCCAGCCCGAGCTACAGGCTGATGAATTCAGGTATCGCTTTAACACGACGTCGTTGCCTGGACTGGTCAGAGCCAGACAGCATATGGACGCAGAAAAATAAAAGGCTGCTGGCTGCCTAATCTAACCTAATCTAACCTAATCTAGCTCAAAATAGTTTTCATATGCGCGTCAACGCTGTAAAGCGGTAAAAAAACGGAGGCCAATGCGCATGCGCATGCTAAAGTGACGTCATAAATCTAACTAGGTATACACGGAAGTGTGGCTTTGTGTAAATAAACTCAGATCTCACTTGATCTGTACAGAGAAGTCGTTTTCAGTAACTTGATATACACGCTCCCAATGCTCGTAAATATTTTGACTAAATAGGAAGAAGACAATCGTGGATAATATTCGGATACCGACAGCGTGATGGTTAACCCGCCATCGACTACGCTCAACTCCCCGACTACGCTCAACGGTGTACCAGTGGTTGATTCCAGCTTCAACATAGAACACAGCATAGTATGAATTTGAGTCAACCTCAATTTCAACCCATCGAGGCGTGCCAAATTCTGAAAGCGACTTCGAGGGGGAAGATTCCAGTGACGATAGTTCGGGAGATAGCCCATTCGACACACATCAGCAATACTGGCAGCGACCATCTTTAGATAAATTACCTGATAATCAAACAGTAAGACTTCGTCGCTTGACGAACTCTTGCCTCAATACTTGGTGTGACGAATCGTTGCAGCTGGTTGCGTGGGAGGGAGAATTATTGCACACAAACGCAACATGAAATCGAAAAATGGAGCAGCTTGCATATATTTGTGGTTTTAGGGTGCGTCAGCCACCTTGGTTATTTGCGGCAACGGCACAGCTTAGATAAGCTAACTACATGGGATATGTGCCAACGTTTTATTTCCATCACAAACTATGTACACAAGCAGTGATCATTATCACTTATTTCTCCATCGTGATGTAAGTGACTCATCGCCGTGCAGACTGACTTCAATTCAAAGGCGATAGAATCTGTCAAGATCGAGTGCAGTTTTTTCTACCACCATCGAAAAATCCGTAATCTAATAGTCAAGGAAATGTGCTTAGTTTTTACGGCTCATTAAGATTTGTGTCACTACCATACATGTTATATTGGTGTCACTATCACCACGCTTTCAAGGTGGTTGGCCACGCGCTTGGCCGACGGGCCGTTAAAGAACATTGACATTAACATTTTACGTTAATTTCATTGAAGGTGTATACACGTGGTGGTGGTGCTGCGCCTTGTCGTACAAGAAAGACACACACACGTACAGTACACAGAGATGCACATATACGCACAGGTGAGAGCAGCTTCAGTCAATGAGTCAGCAATTTAAAACGGTCAGGGATGTCCGGCGGGAGGGGACCAAACGCCAGCTGCAGGCAGCCGGTTCCGTGCGGCGGCGGCGCGGTAGCGAAAATTCCGCTGGGTGGCGGTCATTCGAACATGAACCCCATTGATGTCGTGAGCACCTGTTTGAGCTCATGTGTGAATCATTGTCGGCCCGTCGGAGCCAGGAGCGCGTGCGCTGTAGAACCGCGTTAGAAATGAAAGATGTTAATGAGCACACTCTGTTCTGCGCCTCGCTTGACATATCATTTATTGCACCACAGGAACTAGACCAAAAAGAAACTTCCGGCTCGCATGACTTCACAACGCGTTTACATTGTACAGACAGCAAGTCTGCTCACCCATCGATGCCAAAGAGCACCACGCTAAGACTTACCCAGAATTCCATCACATAGTTTATTTTACCCCCCCCCCCCCCCCACCCCCCGCCCACACCCACGAAGGGGTGCCGATCAATATAGTACGTGGTGCCTGGGACCACACACAAATCACCGGCGGATAGCAAAGCGCAACTTAGTTGCAAACAAATGGTGTTCAACTGCGAAATGAAGACTAACGTAAGCGCTCGCTAGATGTCACTATTAGTAAAGCCGATTGACTTCCCGCTCTTCGCCTGACGCTTATCATGCACCTGTTTCTGGTCATAAGGTATTCGCATTGCAAATACAGATGGAGTTTTCAAGCTCTCGGGACAAAGTCTCACCCAAATGCTGGTCCCCCTCTCTTCACAAAACGCGGCAATGTTTGAGGGCATCGGGCCTTCTTACCAAACCGTTTGGCGTCACCATCACGACGTTGGCAGAAGTTATGCTTGCAGCGTCGCATTTTGGTGCCCGAAAAGGTCTGTGGATGGTACAGTTGCGACGCCATGATGTAGAGTAGTGGCGAAATCGGAAAACGGTCGCATCTGGCGTCACAGTGCCGTGGTGGCGACGCCGCCTCCAAATTTTCGGACATCCAGGGATGAGGTGGCGGCGCCGCTCGTGCGTCGTGGAGAATGACTTGACAACATTACGCGCATGCCACAGGGACGTTGAGATGATGCCACGCAGAGGCCGTGGCGACATCAAAACGACGCTGCTACAATACCGGGGCGGCGCACCCACTTACGTTGCTACATACTCGTGAAAGCATCAATGTGATATTATATGTCCACTGACATGACCCGCGCAATCGAAACATCCGAAAGTCCTTGTGACCACCAATGTCACATTTTAAATGCCATGATGGTATATAAATGTTCCCTCTGCTCTCGGTGTGTTAATCGCCCCATGGTCACGTTGTCAGTCGTTGGTCACACGTTCACTCACGTAAAAAAGCGTACCGCGTGCCCTCTTACATACACTAACTCCCGGCAACAGCTGTTCTGCAAATGAAGCGGGAGGAGAGCGGGTCGCAATTTGGTCACTGAGGTGTCAAGCCGGGCCAAAACAACTTCTACCAGGGTCCTGACAATGTATCGTGCGCAGGTCGCCAGGACTGAGTATTCATGCTCAGAAAAAAAAATCGGCGAAGCTTTAAATTCGGTCCGTTTTTATAGCGCACAAATTGGTGATTCACTTTGAACAAGCATTTGCCGAGCAGTTAGCCGCTTGGCCCCCAGGTCATAAAAGGTAAGCATTACTACTTCGATCAGAACACGCTATTTCATACCACGTCTGACTAAGACGGTACTCTAAGCATACATTTGCCATTTTAGAACCTACGCCGCTGTGAGGAAGATGTTGGAAACTCGAATCAAATAGAATCGTATGAGCTACATCATGCAGTTGTATACAGCTACAGCACACGGTTTTGTAATGTTGCTGTTAAATGACTGGCTGTACTAAATATGTTTGCATACAACTTCTTTTTTTCATTCTTCTCCGTCCAATTAGCAGTAAATACCAAATTCTGCCCCGGGAGGTTTCAGTTTTATTCCAGCTGCCTCGGTCTGGACTCAGGTTAGTCTTCATTATATTGTTTCTATAGTTTTGAACCGGACAGTCCTTCTCTTTTCGACGCCCTATCGTTAGCTACTGTTCGACGCAATGTACACTGGCTGCGGCATAAACCCCTTCTAGGCCACTTCGTTAACACATTTTGTACACTAAATTTGGCGGTTGCGATGAGTCCCCGAGCATTTGATGCTGACGTTGACAAACATACCCTTTACCCCACTGTCTAATCTGGGACAAATTCTCAAAAATGAGCAACACCGTTTTGAAACTACTTCAAAACCCTTTGCGAAAGCATTAACAAGCCATATTTTGATATCTTACCGAAGTGGTCAAGCCTTAAGCGCCAGTAAGTACACGCAAAAGCAAGAAGGGCTATGGACGGTGAGGCGAGGACGCAGAGCAGGAGTGCGGAAAAGCACCGCGTCACCTGTCCACAGATTTGTCAGGGACATGACGTGGAAAAGAGATATAACACGTCGCGTGCGCGTGGCCGAATGATTGCATGTAAACAAGCAACGTTATATATGGTACTCATATGCAATGTTGTAAATGTGTGTGCCAA